GGAAGAGGAGAGCTCCAAGCGTCCCTCGGCAGCCGGAGTTGCAGCCTGGTTCCTTACTTGCCTTTTTTGTTTTTACCCCCTCCCTTTAATGATTTGTTCCGCGTGTCTCTCGAGGGAACGTCTTAGGAATGGTCATTTTTAGCAGTGAAATCTGCTGGCGCAAAGGAGGATTATAACAAATCTCTATGAATGATAGACTCGATTGCTTAAACCTTGCCTTGACCAACCTTCTGACCCTCGGAGAGAGCTCTCAGGGTGTGCGTGGGAAGGAAAAAGAAATCCTCCCATTTGAAAATAAACTTGAAAAAAAAAGACTCATTTTTTTTGGAGCGCCTAGCTGCTTTATAATTACTTTTTTTTTCTTTTTGTCTTGTTTTGTGATAAGTTGTTTTGAAAAGGATTGTCCTACATGATCGTTTTGTAACTGGTGGAGGAAGGAAGGATCCCTCTCCAGCGTTTCTGATGTGACAGCTTTGGTTTCTGAGGAGTTAACTGGTGTTTGCATGATACACCTATTGCTAGTCTGGTAGCAGACTTTTCATTGCTTTATTTGCTTTTTTTATTAACTGGGGCTGGAGGAGAGGGTTATCTTGGCCAGAAGAATATTTGCACATATATATATTGTATATATTTTTGGTGGGGTTCTCCCCACATTTTATTCTCTCTTGATGACTCCTGGAGGTGGTAGTGGGCCCATGAAAGACTGTGAATACAGTCAGATCAGCACACACAGCTCTTCGTCTCCCATGGAGTCTCCCCATAAGAAAAAGAAATCAGTTCCTAAGAGAAAATGGGAGGTTTTTCCTGGAAGAAACAAGTTCTTCTGCAATGGGAGGATCATGATGGCTCGACAGACTGGAGTCTTCTACCTGACTCTTGTTCTCATCTTGGTCACCAGTGGACTCTTCTTTGCATTTGAGTAAGTGACATTAAAGTCTTCATCTCTTCCTTCTCTTCCTCTAGTTACTTATTTTCTATCTGAAGGCAAAATAAGCATTTTTATGTAGGTGTCATAGAGAATGCTTACTGAATTCAGCTAATGTTGGTTTATATAATTGAAAATAAGATCTGATGAGATGCTGAGGGATGTGTGATACTGTTTGGGTCATCATCCTGTGTGGAAAACTGATGATTGAGGTTGTAGTGAATTCATATCACAGGTTTCCAGCTCTTGCTGATGTTGCAAGAGGAGTGTAAATCGGCAGGTTTGGGATGGCCAGGAAATGATGTAGCCTCTTGCCTCTCAGTTACTCTGAGAATCAAAACTGGCAGGTGCAAAAATACTTGACATCATTTAATAGCTTATAGATGAGAATTCCAACTGAGGAGATAAAAAAAAAAAGCTGTACAATTTTGCATGTACGTAGCTTTCCACCGCTAGGTAACAGCATTACTTTCTGTTTCTGATGATAACTTGTATGTGAGTTTGGTCTTAGTTTAAGCTATGTTTGCTTTGGAGGCTGCTTGGGGTTTTTTTAAGCAAGCTTCTGGTGTCCTCCTAGAGCTTTTTTCTCTGTTGCTCTGAATTTTCAGGAGCCCTTTGTATCTATATAAGTGAACACAGTGACAGCAAATCAAATACACTGATTTTAGCACTTACATTGAAGTGGTGAAATTAACTATGTCTAGCAATAAAGAGTTAGGCATAGCAATAAACTATATTGCTCATATCATTTACTTATTTTTATTGAAGCACCAAGTATGAAGATGTTTACATTGCTGAAACACTTGCTGTAACAATAATTGAATTATTTTTAAAGAGTTAGTGCTACTTTACCTATTTTAAATTATTATAGATTGATTTGTGGCAGGAAAAAATAATCTTCAAATTACTTAATTCTTGACTATAAACTGTTGTTTATAACTAAGTTTCAGTGCTTCCTCCAGGAATTCTGTTTGCTTTGCTGAGTGATAGGGTTGAAAAACAAAGGTCCTTCATTATTTGGTGTCTTCAAGCAAGAAGATAGTGACATGAACAAACCCTAAATTTTACCAGTTAAATGCAGACCATCTTAACATACTGGTAGTAGTAAAGAAGGTAAAAATACTCAGCAGTTAACCAGTGGCTGAATGTATATGTGTGGAAGGCAGATGGGTTGTCACTAGTGAGTTCCAGATTACTTTAGAGGGATTTATTAATTGTAAGTCTTCTGCAGACATTATGAAGCCACTTGAACATCGTTTGAGTAGTTGAAATAACATGGTCAGTGATGGTATCCACGTACTGCAAGTGTGTTTACTTTCCCAGTTTTAAAGGGTATTAAGGGTGTAACCAGATAGTATTGCATCAGGACTGGGTGCTCTCTTTGCTGTTTGCCATGATTAGGCCTGGTTTAGGAAAGCTTTTCTGTGTGGGCTGACACCTGCATCTGTGTGCAGCCTCATCACCTTCAGCACGGCCTCTGAAGGCAAGTGCTGGAGTTCTGCAAATGCCAGAACATAAATGTAGGATCAAAGCTGTAATGTTTTATAATCGTGATTGTAAAGCTGATTTATTAAGCCACCATTTGCAGTTTATTTATATGTTTTAACACTTTATCCTTCAGAGATAAATTTTCTCTGCAGCTGCATGATTCAGAACTGCTAAAGCAGGATGAGCTGCTAGCTGTTCATCACCTTCGGATTTCATTACTACTGTGTGTTATGTGCTCTACCAGAGTTGAGCACTGCAACTTCTGCCATGTCTTTGGGATTATTTGCAGTGTAACCATATGCGATTGACATTTTTAGTCAAGCTACAGAATTCTGATATATAATTAGTGCTTATTCTAACTGGCAGTCTAGAAGCAGGGTGGAATCTTTGGCTTTATATAACTATATAAATTTTCTCTGTGTGTGCTGGTCTTGAGTCATTCTTGTATCACTTGCAGTCTCCTTTTAAGGGAAATCTAAGTAGAGGATGGCAATGGTATTTCATTTTTATAATAATAAGGTAGATCGTGGCCTTTAGAAAGCACTTGCACTGAAAAATTATTACTCATCCTCTGAAGGGTAATTAAAAACCCTAACCTAAAGACTATGAGAATGGTGTTTTCGTGAATGTTTGTGATGTTTAAGCTGCAGAAGGTTGTTAATGTTAGAAAAAGAGGGAACTCTCTTATTAATAAGTGTTACTTTGAAGCAGGTTCTAATTGTGCCTGTTCCGAGTAATGTGAAGTTGCTATTTATTGATCAGTTGATAGCATCCTGAGTTGTTGTGTCACTGCCGTTATTTGGCTGGTTTGGTTATGACGCTCCTCTTTAACCAGCTGTTTATTGAATGTGACAGAAATGGCTTTCAGTCCTTTGTGTACGTGTGGAGCAAAGTAGTTTTTAAATGGACATGTGCCTTCTGCGTCTGAACTGTAAGGTCAAACCGTCATTGAAGAGAAAGATACCCTGTATGTTCTTGGAATTGTTTGGTCTTTTTGCTACAGTTGAAATAAATTATTTTGTTCCGTTTGGATTTGGAAACTGGAAAATAGGTACTCATGGTCCAAGGCATTCACTCATGGTTTTTTGTATTCCCCGGTTTCAGGCAGTGAAGAGGGGAAGTAGGAAAGAGATTACTTTGACAGCTAATTCCTGGGAAAGCATCATACTAACATAAACAGTTGTCTTTTATCCATTGGCTTCCTTTGTTCCTCCAATGTGATTTCCCTGCTTCCTTTTATTTTACTCTTGACACCCATTTATCCAGAGCTGTATCTCACGTGCTTTGGAATTCTCTCCAGGGAAGAAATATGTTTCTCTGAATAAACAAATCCTAAGTCTCCAAAAGCAAACATATGTCATACATCTCGACCTGTATAACTTTTGACATTGAGCCATGCCTTTGTAATCTTTGTTTCTGCATATTTACGCTTCTCTGATTTTTCCTGCCTACTTTTTCCAGCTCCTTATTTCAGCTGGTTTTATTCCTTTCTCTCTTTTGGCTTTTATCTCTCTCATACTCCCAAGTATCTCACCACTTCTTCCTTTTATCATTTCACTCCTCTTTTTTGTTTTCAAAGAGCTGAGCCAGAATTTGTTTAAAGGAAAAACAGCAACAAACTTTGAGCTTTCAAGCAGGTAAAATATTTATGGTTCCTGCCTCCTCCCCTTCCAGTGGAAGAGAATGCAAATAACAAAGTTTTATTTCTGTGACTTGTCTATTAAATGTCGCATGAATGATTGCAAGCACTTTTGTGCCCTAAGAGGGATGTTGTGCTTGAGTTCTTCTTAAAAATTATGCCCTATTTGTAAATGCTTAGGATAAGATGCCACAAATTATTGAATTTGTCTTTAACATTTGGGTATGTTATTTTATCTTGGAAACTTTTGCTAACTCTAACCTGGTGATTTTTTTCTGGTTTTTTTTTCCCTTGTAAATTTGGCCTTGTGTTACACTTTCTTTTTTACCTTTACCTTGCCCCATTACACAGACATGGAAATTTTTTTAAGTATTCAGCATTTATTTATCAAGGTAGCTGCATGAAAAGCTTAGAGAACAAATTCCTTTCCCCGGAGCAAAGATAACATCTGTGTAACTGAAGGGCAGATCT